TCAGCAAGCATTCCTGGTGGCCGCGGGGGTGGCCCTCGGGCCGAAATGCCGTGAACCGTGCTCTCGGGTCACAGTTTGAATATTCCTGGAGGGCCTGTTGGGGCAATTTTGGGCCGTCGAGGGGCCCTCGGTGGGCAGTGTCTGAGCCCTCTTGGGCCGTCTTGGTGCTCTCTTGGAGTCTCAGGAAGCCTTCCTTGTTCGTCTTGGATTATGATGTTCCAACCTACTTCAGCCTTGATCACCGGAAAGAATATCGAGCACCAGAAAAGCACCCCAAAATCCTAGGGTTTTCACGTGTCGGGCCCTGGAAGGCACTCGTCCGACATTGTTTCGACACTTGTTTGACACTCTTTCGACACTTGACCGGGTGCTCGAAATTATTTCTGGGATGTGGTCTTTAAGCACGATGCGTGCAACATAAGTCTTGGAGCGATTTCCGGTGCCTCTCTGGCGTTCTCGGACGCCCGGATTTCCGAGTAACCGAGTCGCCCAAACTAATGCACACATCGACGAGGACTGTTCTTTGCGTTTTGAAGGCCTTTTGGGAGTGATATTTGGGCCGTCTTCGGGCGTCCGGCGGGGCTCCTCCTCCTCCTCCTCCGCCTCCGCCTCCGCCTCCTCCTCCTCCTCCTCCTCCTCCTCCTCCTCCTCCTCCTCCAGGGGCCGCCCCCGGCAGCCGCGGCGCAGGACCGAGCAGGAGAAGGCGGACGAGATCGAGCTCATGAACCAGAACTCGGAGGGACGGGCCGGCGAGGGCGGAGGAGGGGGAGGAGGGAGAACAGGAGGCGACGGAGGGGCATGAGGAGGAGGAGGAGGAGGAGGGGGAAGAGGAGGAGGAGGAGGAGAAGCAGGAGGAGGAGGAGGAGGAGGAGGCGACGGAGGGGGCATGAGGAGGAGGAGGAGGAGGAGAAGCAGGAGGAGGAGGAGGAGGAGGGGGAGGAGGAGGTGGGTCGAGATTTGGGGCATGTGCTGGCCCCTTTGGCCCTTTGATGGCCTCCGAAGGGCCTCAGCAGAAGTAGGAGACGGGGGAGGTGGAGGAAGAGGGCGGCGGCGAGCGAGGGCGAGGCGGAGGGAGAGGTGCTGTTGGACCGAGGTATCATATCGAGGTCGTTTCGGGGCAGGGTACCCTGATGTTCTTCGTGTTGGTTGGATGTTCTTGTGCATCCTGTGGGTGAGTACCCTCGAGTGTTCGTCAGGTAGGAGGAGGAGGAGGCGACGGAGGGGCATGAGGAGGAGGAGGAGGAGGAGAAGCAGGAGGAGGAGGAGGAGGAGGGGGAGGAGGAGGTGGGTCGAGATTTGGGGCATGTGCTGGCCCCTTTGGCCCTTTGATGGCCTCCGAAGGGCCTCAGCAGAAGTAGGAGACGGGGGAGGTGGAGGAAGAGGGCGGCGGCGAGCGAGGGCGAGGCGGAGGGAGAGGTGCTGTTGGACCGAGGTATCATATCGAGGTCGTTTCGGGGCAGGGTACCCTGATGTTCTTCGTGTTGGTTGGATGTTCTTGTGCATCCTGTGGGTGAGTACCCTCGAGTGTTCGTCAGGTTGGCCAGCGCAGGGCCCCATGTTCTTGAATGATGTTGTCCTGTCCCAGGTCCGGCCGTAAGGGAGGAGGACGGGGAGGTACGATGTATGATTGATCGGACGGGGCCAGGACGAGGATGAATCCATGCCAGCGCGTTCTGGAATGCTCTCAGAGCGTTCCGCAGCGCTCTGAGAAGGCCGCGGCGCCAGAGGCATCCTCCAGGGCCGCCAGGTCTCAGAGAGTTTCGAGTTATCCTCACCCGATGTTGCCCTCTTCCTGGCTTCGTCTGAGTTGAGGAGTGAGGGCAGCAGGCGCTCGTCACGCCCACGATTGGCAGGCCTGGCCGCGGGCGCACTCAGGACGCCCTGAGGCGGCGCGCCGTGTGGGTGCGGTGCAGCGCTGATAGCCAGGAGTGATCTGCCCGAGGGTGGGACAGGCTCGTGCCGCCCCAGCGTGGCAGCGACGCTGGCGCGGGCGTTCAAGGCGGGGGGGAGGGAGAGACCGATGCCGCTGCCCCCTCCTCTCCGCCGCGGCCGGATGTGCCCCGAACTCCTTGTCAGAGCGCACCCCAGGAGAAGTCCGGGGAGTAGCGGTATCGATATTTCTCTCTGTTCTCCCCCCACCAGGGGCCCGTTCCGGGCCCGGGGCTCAACAGAAACAGCCCCCCGGCCTACATTCCCAACGAAGGATGGCTCCACAGCTTCGGCGGACCGAGAGCGGAGATCGCATTGGAGAAGGCGGCGAACAACGTGGCCCACGTTGTCAGGGCAGCTCACCGTACCACTTGGGGTCGAAACGAGGAACACGTTGGTTCGCTTCTGTTCTGCTGGCTTCCGTCTCATAGCCAGAATCTCGCCCGAGGGCGCCTCCAGGTGCATTGTTGAGTGCAGAAACAGCCAAGAGAGCGTTCTTGCATTCCCTGGCGATAGCGGGCGTTACCGCAAGGGAGGAGGGCGGGGGTCGATCACGTCACGTTTCGTGTCGGTTCCGCCTGGGATTGTCTACGAAAATCAGAAGACACGTTGGATGTCATAACGCATCGTGATGTTACCTGGAGGGGGGGGAATCGGCCAGGGTTCGGTAACCGCCATTATCTCGCGAAACGAATAGCACGTTCTTCAAAAATCCTCTGTTCAGCTCTCGATCATCGATTCTCCTCCTCCTCCTTCCCTGGAACAGTTGGCTGGCCAAATGAGGAAGGCCAACGCGGTGCGAAGTGGCCTTCACCCAAAACGTTTACACCCCTGTCTGAATCATCCTAGCCCGTTCAGCCTTTACGGTAGGTTCATGCGGCCATGGCACGCCGGCAACGCCAGCGAAAGCGTCCAAGGTTGAATTCGCAAGATAGAGCGACGCGGAAGCACCAAGGGACATTGTAACGACACAGGACCCGACGGGAATCAACCTTGAACGATCGGGGCCGCGATCGGTTCAAGATTGAACGATCGACGTGGTGTCAAAAACCCTCGCGCGCGCCGACGCCGCGCGAACCTACGGTATACCCTGTGGGCTCGAGGACCCGTGTCTCCCCCGCTCGTCGTCGGTCCGACGGCCTCTGTCAAGCCGGAGCGAATTTTTCCAGATCGAGGTCAGTTCGGGGAGGGTACCCTAATGTTCTTCGTGTTGGCTGGATGTTCTTGTGCAGCCTGGGGAGGGTACCCTCGGATGTTCTGTGTGTTGCGGCTGGCGGAGGGTCCCGTGCTCTTGAAGGATGTTCTTCCGTCCTGCTGTCCGACTGTCGTCCTGCGGGCCCTCGGACGCTCTCGCGTGGGCGAGGCTCTCCTGACGGACGAGGAGACGTACCTGCACGGCATCCTGCCCGACTGCCAGTGGGTGCGCGCCTGCCGCACCCACCGGGCTACCCGCGGGGGGACGCAGGAGCGGGGCGGGGCGCGTGCCAGCGTGGAGGCCAGACGTTCGGCGGCGAGCCAGGGGAGGAAGGGAGGAGGGGCAGGCCTTACCAGAAGACTCGAGAGTCCCCCCGCCTTCTGAGAAGTTCTCCAAGCCTTCCCCGAAGACAGAAGGCCTCCCAGAAGGTGCGAGGGCTTCTGAGAAGTCCGGCCGCATTCTGAGAAGGCCTTCTCCTTCTCATTTCTCCCCTTCGCTCGCCGCCGAAGCAGATCCCTCTCTTGCCCTCGCCTCATCTCGGTGTCAATCTTGAGGGCTCCCTCGGTTTCTGTGGGCGCATTCCTGAGACTGTCATTGCCTTTTCTATTGTCAGGTGGAGAAGTTCGAGGCTGGTCCGCACTGGAGGGAAAGGGGGGCCTGCAAGTTTTCGGGCTCCGCTGGCCCTCCCCAGGCCCTGGGTGTCAATCAGGATCGGCCACGCGCAGAGGTGGGCTTGGGGGAGGGGAAAAGACTTCTTGAAAGGAGGCTGCTGTTTAGAAGGCACCGGCCTCATGTATAACTGAGATTGAAGGGCCGCGCCTTCTAAGAAGCAACTCTTTCTAAGAAGCCTTCCCTCCTCCCCCTATCCTCAGGAGGGAAAACCACACAGACACACTTAGACATGGATCCTCAGGGAAACATCGGAAAACATGGGGAGTAGAGGAGAAGCTGAAAATCCAAGAAATATTTCAAAATATAGGGGTCCTGGTATTTCTGTCGATTTATGTGTGTCCCTGGGCCCACCCACCGTCATCCAGCAGCGCCAGCCCTGCCGTCGCCTCCTCTCGGGAAATGGGCGAATACAAGCGGGAGTTGTCCTTGCCCTCTCCCCGAGCTTCGGCGAGATCCCCGCATGACGAGAGACGGGGGAGGTTCGGCTGTAGGATATGTATATATATATATATATATATATATATATATATATATATATATAGGCAGGGGTAGTGCTTCACTTTTTGGCAAATCCAGTCCCCCCCCCGCAGTGCGGACTGGACAATCTACCACGTGCTCGCCAGATATTCCTCCGGAGCCCACGGCAGTCGCAGAACAGCTTGCCCTGGCAATCGTGATTTCTGCGGCTGACGTTTTGAGTGATCGCCGTGCACGCATGGGGGAATGGGCGAGAACCCACGTGTACCAAAGGCGGGCATATGTCGAAATACCAGAATAATGATTATCGATGGCCTTCGGCACGTTCCGCCACCGTGCGTGGGCTGCGGGTGTGAGGCCACGCGGATGGCAGGCGAGATCTCGTGGGAGGAGCCTTGGGGGTGATTGGGAAGCAGTTTTTGAACTTCTTGGCGACCTCCTGGGGGCCTCTTGGGAGCTTTTGGGGCAACCGGGCGGCTGTTTGGGGTGGAAGGCTCGACGTGTACGTCCAGGTTCCCCCTCTGGACCCTCGCTTAGGGCTGTCCTGGAGCTCCCCTGGGCCACCTTAGGGGGCTTCTTGAACGGTCTTGGGGTCCTCTTGGGTTGTCTGAGAGCCCTTTTGGGGGCCTCTTGGGCCGTCTTGGGGCGATCCAGGAGGCTTCTTGGGCTGTCTTTCACGTTGCGAACGCACAAGGGGCAAACGTGCCAACACTGCGCGATTTCTCATGGGAATGGGACGATGTATGATGTATACTCTTCGAGGCCGTCTTGGGACGCCTCTTGAGGGCTTCTTGAGGCGTCTGGGGGGCAGCGTGGGCGTTTTGGATTGGTCTTTCGGCGGCTCGTGGCCTTCTCAGAGGGCCTCTTCGTGTCCTCTTGGCCTGCTCTGGGACCCTCTGTCCCCCTGTGGCGCGTTCAAGCCCTCCCCGGGGGATCCCCCCCAGGATCCCCCCTTCCAAATCGACCAGCCCGGGCTCCCGGGGAAGGGGATTGGGGAGAGGGGAGCAGCTCGCCCGCCGATGAACCACAAGGGGGCGGCGGATTTCAAGTATCATTCTTGTTGTTCCCTTTGCTCTTCTCTTGCCCTCGCTGCTGCTTGAGACCCCTTGGGGCCATTTCGGCGGGAATATTTCACAATGTTTGACAGGATCGTGGCCTCGGGGACGCGGATACTGTATAATTTGCCACGGTTCGTGGTTTCGGAGGCGCGAACGCAATCTGATTCGCACAAGAATCGTGGCCTCGAGGACGCGAATCTTTGTAATGTACGAGTGATTTTGGCTTCGGTGACGTACGTTACTATGAGGTGATGCATGACAGGGTGTATGGGCTCGAGGACGCGAGCGCTGTGTAAACTTCGAGGGATGATGGCTTCGATGGGGGCAGACATAGCGTAGCTTACGAGAGATCGTGGCCTCGAGGACGCGAATATGGTGTAATCCACGTGGGGCTATGGCTTCGAGAAAGCAAACCTGGCGTAATTCACAAGGGATCGTGGCCTCGGGGACGCGAGCCATGCGTAACTTACGAGGGATCATGGCCTCGAGAACGCGGACCTTATATACTCTACGTGGGGTTTTTGGCTTCGAGACAGCATTTATGGCGTAATTCACAGGGGATCGTGGCCTCGGGGACGCGAGCCATGCATAATTAGTGTATGGGGGATCGTGGCCTCGGGGACGCGAATCACAAGCACTCTTACGTGTTCCAGGCCCCCCCAGAAAGTCTGAGAACCTTAATAGGGGGCGTGGTAAATGGCATCGTTTTAGGCCCCACCCCCTCGCGCGGACTTCAACAATTCACAGAAGGACGCTGAAAGTAGAAGTATAGCTTGGAGACTTGAAACCAGAACTCGAGCAGGGCGCAGCAAGTCTAATCCGTGGAGCCTGGTGGCCCCACAAGGGGGCCGGCGGATCCCGATCCCATTTTGTCCCGGCCCTGGCCTCACCTTGGACACGGTAGGGCCATCGTGCAGCTGGCGGTTGCAGTGGGAAGATCAGCTGTGCTGGCACGCTGCCCACAGGCGAGCGACACGGGGTAGCGCTGGCCTGCAACATGGCCGGGTGGCTGGCAAGCGCGAGCGATCTCACCACGCGTCTCGCGTCGTGGCATTCGCGGCCGCCCCGAGGAGCCTCTTCGAGCGACCGATTGCCTGCTGCGTTCTGCGTCTTCCGCTCCGAGGCGGGGATTTACCCATAGTCACCGCCTGGGGGATCCAGCTTCGGGGTCCTCGGCAGGCGATGGACATGGATACACGCTTATGCATAGTTCCCCGCCCCGCATCCAAGTGTGTTTGTGTTGATTTCGCTTGTGCGGTCTGGTGTTGTTGCTCATGCGTTCTGCATCGTGCTTTTGCGCTCGCCGCCCCAGTCCGTCGACCAGGCCGAAGCGCGCCATATTGGTAGCGCTCTGCCGCGCGCTGGTGCACCGTGCCCCTCCGGAGGCGCACCCACTTGCCACTTGCCTTCTGCGCGCCAACATTGACCATGAGGGAAGGGGGAATACGCTGTGACAGGAGTGTTCGCTATTTGCACCCGACGCCTGTGTATCCTTGTTTGTTCTTCTATGTTGGGTCCCCTGCGCGCGGCCACGGGGCGGGCGGCCTCGGGGGCGCGCGGCGCCCGCCGTCTGCGCAGATGCGTGGCGGCGGCTCGAGGGCCTCAGCAGCCCCCGCGATTTCAGCCCCGCGGCGCCGGCTCCGGCGCCAGGGCTGCTCGGGGGGACCTGTTGAGGCCCGCTGGGACTGCTCCAGGGGGCCTCTGGGGGGGCTGTCAGGGTCGCATCGGGGGCCCAAAAATATACACCACCACCACCTCCCTCCCCCCCTCCCTCTCGCTGGAAAGAGGACAGAGGAGGAATCGACGTGGTGGTGGTGTATATTCTTTGGGACCCCATCGCACACATCACGCCGCTTGCTTGGCCGCGTCGCGCACATCACGTCACTCTAGTACACATGCACACACACACATTCACACACACACACACACACCGCGGCGCCGGCTCCGGCCTGGGCTGCTCCGGCTTGGGGGGTGCTCCAGGGGGCCGGCCGAGGCCACCCAGGACTGCCGCTGGAGGAGGGGCCGTCCGCGCGCGGCCGCGCGGCCTGGCCACCCAGGCGCGGGGCCCGTGCAGGTGCTGGGCGGCTCGCGCGGCGGCAGGCGGAGCAGGGTGCCCAGGCTCGACGCGCGGCGAGATGCGCTGGCGCCGTGCTGTCTCGGCGCGGCGGCGGCCCGGGCGCTTGGCGTCGCGATCGAAATCTTGAGTCGGTGTCCCTCGACAGGAGGAATGTCCAAAGATTCTTAAAACATTAGCCTGGGGACGATCTTCTACGATGTTCACAACTTTTTTGAAGACTTTTGGGCCATGTCTTACTTGTTCTACAGAATCCGCCTGTAGGGGGACACGCCCGACGTAATCGAGATCGGAGGTTCCCGGCGCAGCAGCCCTGTGAGGCCCTTGGGCGCGGCAGGCCAATGATGGCAGCGGCTCGCGCGGCGAAGGCGTGGCAGAGGCCAGGGATGCCCGTGCGCGCACTCTGGCGGCAGCCCTGCCGCATGGAAACTCGCGCACCTCCCTGGGTCGCCATCCGAGTTTCGGCGCTCCGGCGTCCCCGCCGAGCTCCCGGAGGGGCCCTCGTAGGGAACGTTGCGGGCGCCCGTCCTGTCCTAACTTTTCTTCCTCCGCCCCATATCCATATCCATGCCCTCGCGATCTGGATATACATGTAGGCTTGATCCCAAGTGCGCGCGATCCCACTGATACACTCCGCGCGGGGCATCGGCGCGAAGCCGCCCCGTACCCAGATGGTTCGGGGGTGGACAGACCTCCTACCCTGACAACGTCGATTAGCGAATTGGCCGTTTTCGGTTCGCGAGAGGGCGTCGCGGCCGTCATTTTGCGGGTCCAGGTCCGTCGGTTTCGGTCCTAGGCCGTTTTCACTAAAGGGAGGTTTGCTATAGGGAGTTTTGTCCACCGTTGAATGGTCTGGACAGCGAGGCCGCGCATATTGATGGGTGTCCCCTCCGCGACGACCACTGCCAGGTCTTCAAGGCCTTCTTCGAGCGTGCCGACAAGCGCGCCGCGGAGATGGAGGGCCTCACTACGGCGAAGGCCCTATGCCCCGCCTCCTCCCTCGTAGCAGGAGGAGGAGGGCTCGTCTTCGCCTTTTCGAGCCCCGTTCAACCTGCTGTGCCCCCAGGGATGATCTGGCCGGACGAAAGGGGGGGATTGGGAAAGGGGGTGGTACGAAATCTGCTGCATGCAGCTGGTTTCGGCCCCGCCGCCGGGCAAATTCTTTGATACATGGGCGCCTCCCGGCGCCCGGAGGCGCCGGGAAAATCAGCTACCCGAGCTGATTCTCACCCCCCCCCTTTACTATCCCCCCCTTTCGCCCGGCCCGAGATGAGGAGTAGGTTTGGGAGAAAAGAATCAGGCTCGGAGGAGCAGAAAGGTGATGATGCTTCTGATGAGGTTGGGGATGATGGGGATGACGATGAGGACGAGGACGATGCTGAGGATGAGGATGAGGAAGAGGATCATGGTAGGGATGAGGATGAGGACGAGGACGAAGACGAGGACGAGGATGAAGTTTAGGGTGATGGTGATGATGCTAATGCTGATGCTGATGCTGTTGCTGATGCTGCTGCTGTTGCTGCTGATGATGTTGCTGCTGATGATGACAATGCTGATGATCATGATGATGATGCTGCTGCTGCTGATGAAGATGATGATGATGATGATGATGAGTATGAATATGATTATGATGAATATTATGCGGATGACGACAATAATGATGACGATGATGATGATGATGATGCTGATGGTGATGATGATGATGCTGATGATGATGATGATGATGCTGATGCTGATGATGATGATGATGCTGATGATGATGATGACGATGATGATGACATGATTGTGATGGTGATGATGATGCTGGTGGTGCTGATGCTGATGAGGATGAGGAGGAGAAGGAGGAGGAGAGGGGTGATGACGATTTTACTGATGGTGGTGATGGTGACACTGATTATGCTGATGGTGGTGATGATGGCCATGACAATCATGATGTTGGTGATGATGAAGCTGATGATACCGATAATGACGATGATGCTGATGCTGATGCTTGTATAGTCTGATTCGTTGTAGACTGCAGGTTAAGTGGGAGGGGGTGTGGGCTCAGGTAGCCATTTTGGGTCCGTAGCGTTCGGCTCTGGCCGACGCGCGGGTGTTCCAGGGGGCCGCGGGGCGGCCATAACCACAGCCGTGCTAGTCCGCGGACTAGGTAGCGCGCCTGTGGTGCCATGGCTGTGGGCTTCCTGGGGGCGCACCTGATGATCTTGGTTACGGGCGGCGCTCTTACGGTCCAAGGGGCACTTGGCTGGCTGCCGTTCGGGCGCGGGGGACATGAGGTCCCAGCGCCGACGCCGCCAGCCCTGCCCGGGCCGACAGCGCCGCCGGCAGGCGGTGGGGGGCGAGGCAAGGGGCGAGGACCGCCCGCCAAGCCCGCGCCTGCAGGGGGAAAGGGGCGAGGGCCGCAGGCCAAGCCCCCGGGGACGCCGGGCGTCCCACCGCCGCCGCGGTCAGGGTCGACTACAACGACCACGACCGCGGGCATCGGGCGCGTAGGCGAGGGCGAGCCCACAGGCAGCCCAGCTACGCCGGCATACGGAGGTAACAACGAGCCCACGGGCGCGCCTGGGCAGCCGTCCGCCCCGGGAAACCGGACGGGCGATGGTGAGCCTGACCTGCCGCGTGGGCTGGACGGGTATTGGGGGTGGAGTGGTTGGGTCCCGCACCTGCCCCATTGGTGGGCTGGCCGGAGCGAACCCCCACCGCCGCCGCCGCCACCTACCCCGCCCCCGGAGGCAGGGCCGGGTCCCGGTTGGGGCTTCGCAGCCTGGGTCTTCGAGGTCGTGGGCTATGGAGCGTGGGTAAGCTCCCCCGACCACCCGGGCACGATCCGCACGAGTGGCGGATGGATTGGATCCGCCGTCGACCGCCTGGGCGTTAAGATGCTTGGGTATTGGTGGGAGACCGCGGTCTTATGCTTTGCCCTAGGCATCTTCACGTTCGTGTTGGGTGCCCTGGCCTTCATCGTCAACACCGCAGCCCAGCCTATGCTGTGGGCTGCCGGGGGACTCCGCTGGGCGTGGTACCAGATTACCCGGTGCTGCCAGCGACGCGGAGGGGATGGGCCCGGCGCCCATCTTCCCCCACCCCCTCCGACCCCCTTGCTGGTGCGCTGGCGCGGGCCGGGCTTGGGCGGCGTGGTGGAGACAGAGTTCTACACAAAGGGGGTCCGCGGCCGAGGGACCAATCGGGCGTACAACCACGTGCTGCTGCGTAAGCACGGGCAGGTGGCCCGCATCAGCTGCAACTTTGCGGACCGGTACCGATTGGACCGCCACGGGCTCAACGTCAAGATCGGGCAGGTCCTGGGGTGCACCAGTCGCAAGTGGCGGCTGAACCTCGAGGAGACAGGGAATGTGCATCTATGTCGTGCTGTCGAGTGCGCCTCCTGTCCAGTGGCGCATCCCATGCACGTCGACCAGTACGCGGCCATTGACCACACACAGATCGTGGACTTGGCTGAGCACGGAAGGGCCACGGCCTGCCGGGCAGTCGGCGTGGGACTCCGGAAGGTATTCGGGGTCGTCAAGTGGCTGCTTTGCTCACCCTGGTCGGTACTCGGATGGCTGTGCCGGGGCCGGCCGGAGCCCCGCTACATCACCGACGCCACGGGCTATCGCCGCCTGGACATCGACTCGGAGAGCGAGGTGGAGGCGGAGGAGCGCCCCTGCCAAGCCGCACAAGTTGGGGTGCAGCTCGCGGGTGGCGCACGCCCCCTCCAGCCGGAGGGGTGCGGCGACCGAGGGATGCAGGAGGCCACTGTCCTGCTACAGGAGGACGCGGAGGTGTCGGACGTTCCCCGGCCGGGGCATTGTCTCAATGCACAGGTGCACCTCTGCGCCCACCATGCGCAGAAGTATCGGTCTACCCTGATCGGCCGCAAGTGCAGCCTCCCCACTTGTCTCCGCATGGCGAAGGGTAGCTGCGGGGGGGCCCCGATGTGCGGGGAACATCTCCGACGGGACGAGGGTCGCACCGTGCGCGTCGAGGCGACGGTCCAACCTGGGATCCTCGGGGGCCTGCGCCGCCGCATGCGGGCGCGGGCTCCAAGCCCCGCCAGGGCGCGCGATTGGACCGCGCACGCTGCCGATGGGGTTGGCATAGCGCCCGAGCCGGTCTACCCCCCGCCTCTACCTCCCCCCGCTGCACCGCCACCGCCCGCCGTGGCCCCATCTGTCGATGTGGAGCCCACGGGGGCGCAGGCCCTAACCTCGGGGCCGCAGCCGCGTCGCACACGCTCCGCGGAAGCAAGGGCCAGCGGACGCTCACGGTCTGCCGACCGCGGGGCCCCGGGCGATCGGATCGCCCACCACGGGTGGCTTCAGGAGCCCCTACTCGTGAAGGTCTGCCCGATACTCCCGGGCGACCCTCGGGGAGCCGAGGAGGCGTACGGCGCGCCCCCGGCGAGTCCTTGGTTTATTCTATTGGGAGAATGCGAGGGGCTCGACGCACGGGGCACTGGCGGGGACGCCAGACTTATCATCGGGACTAGCCTCGAGGGCGTCAGGGTGGAGGTCCCAGCCAGCGAGGTCGTACGGCACCCCCCTCCGCTGGAGGACGGGCGCTACCCGATAGATTGGATCAATCGGCTGCTGTACGAGGTCCCCCAAGGGGCTCGGGAAGTGGGGTTGCGTGTCATCGCCCACCACATCCCGCAGGATCTGCTGGCGATGTTACGCCAGGAGCAGTGGGGCGGTGTGGACGTGGAAAGCGCGAGCGGCTGGAGGCGGCGCTACCTGACGAACACGGAGCGCCAGCAGCTGCAGCACGACCCGGTGCGCACACTCGGCCACCATCGGCGGGGTGGCGCGCAGGGGGCGCCGCCTGCGCCCGGGATGGAGGGCTTGCCCCGTCCCGCCCCCGTGGCGGCACTGTCGCGCTTAGCGGCGGCCGCCGCCGGCGTGAGCGAGGACGCCGAGGAGCCCGACCCGCTCGAAATGTTCATGGACTCCTTGCGAGCCGAGGATCTCAAAGGACGGGGGGGCCAAGCGGCGGCTCTCAGTGCATTAGGTATGGCCGCGGACCTGCTCGGGGTTCCGCTTGATCAGGCGGAGCGGCAGCTGCGGCGGAGGGTCGCACAGGTGGCAGCGGCGGGCCCACTGGGGTCCGACCTAGAGCGCGCCCTCGCGGATTTGGAGGATGCGCAGCTGGAAGCGCGCGCGCGGGAGCGTGCTGCGGCCGCCGACAAGGTTCCCCTGCAGGGGAGCCTCTCACGTGAGGGGTCGCGGAGTCGCTCGGCGCGGGGACGGGATCCCAGCCCGAAGCAGGGACCCCGACGCGAGCTCTTCGGTGCCATGCCCCCCATCCAACCCACGGGCCCACGACGGGGCTTGCTGGGTGATCGGGACCTGCTGGCACGCGATGGACGCGGGGGGGCCGCCCGTGGGGCCAACCCGCTCCTCGACGGGGCCTCGGTCCTTGGCCACCTCACTGGCCAGACGCCCCACGGGGGCGGCCTGGGTGGGGAGCGAGCTGGGGGTCCAGACGACGCCGGGGCGGCGGGCGCCCTGGGCGGGCTTACAGTCGAGGCCGAAGCCCAGATCATCGAGCGCCTGGATCGCCAGAACCGCCTCACTGAACGCCACGTCCTCGCCGCCGAGCGGCAGGCGCGGGCCACCGAGGGCGACAAGAAGGCCCGGGGCACCAGGGCAGGGATCGGTCGGGACGAGGAACTTGATCTTTACATAGCCCGGGGATGCAACACCTTCGTGGTTGAGGCCTGCGAGGGGATCACGGGGAAGGACTTGTTCGACTCACTCAAGCGCATGTGTGCGCACTCCAAGAGCACGCTCAAGACGATCGGGTTTCCCTGCCTGGTTACCAACCGTGTGGCACACGGCTACGCGGCGCTCGCCTTCGGGACGGGCCCTCACGACCTGGCGGTGGACGACTGCGTCCCCGCGCGTGACGAGGACTTCGATGGCTATCGGCTCCCTGTGGACGACAAGCTGGAGCCCCGCCAACGGCCCGCCACCCACATG